CACACATTACCTAGGCAGGTGTTGTATAAAACGCTCACATATTACCTTGCAGTCACGTGTGAAACCTCACACATTACCTGACAGGTGTAAGACCTCACACATTACCCTGGCAGGTGTAAAACCTCACATATTACCTGGCAGGTGTAAAAACCTCACACATTACCTGGCAGGTGTAAACCTCACACATTACCTGGCAGGTTGTAAAACCTCACACATTACCTGACAGGTGTGAAACCTTACATATTACCTGGTAGGTGCTAAAACCTCACATATTACCTGACAGGTGTTGAAACCTCACATATTACCTCGACAGGTGGTGAAACCTCACACATTACCTGACAGGTGTGGAAACCTCACATATTACCTGACAGGTGTATAGAATCATACACTACCTGGTGGTATAGACCTCCTTCATGCATTACCTAGAGTTTGTTCCTTCACATGTTTCATGCGATGATCATTGTTCTCGCAGACAAACCTGAACAGTACCAACGTGATGGTCAAGGGCATATGGAATTATTCCCTTCCACATGTTCACGCAGATGATCGTTGTTCATTCACACGTTCACACTGTTCACGTGTTCTCGCAGACGAACCTGAACAGCACGAACGTCGTGTCGAGGGCGGCGACGAAGCTGCGCGATTACCTGGCGAACACGCGTGCGATCCGTGACGCGATGGCGACGTCGTCTACGCGGCGCGCACGCGGTCGCCAACCTCGCCGCGCTACACGCGCCAGCATCCGAGGTCGCGTCTGTGCTCGTAGACATCGTCAAGCCGCCTCCATGGACGTCGACGCGCCGCGCTGCTCTCGCCGCCGCCAGCTGCTGGACACGTCCTGTACCAGGTAAGGCTGCTGCTCGCCGCTGCCAGCTGCTGGACACGTCCTGTACCAGGTAAGCCTGCTGCTGACCGCCGCCCAGCTACTGGACATGTCCTGTACCAGGTAAGGCTGCAGCTGGACACGTCCTGTACCAGGTAAGGCTGCAGCTGACGCCAGCCAAGCTACTGACATGTCATGTAACCAGGTAAGGCTGCAGCTGGACACGTCCTGTACCAGGTAAGGCTGCCTGCTGACCGCCGCCCAGCTACTGGACATGTCAGTGTACCAGGTAAAACTGCTAATTGTACGTCTCATCAGTTCTAACACATCAGCAATGGAGAAACAATCTCTGTGTCTTTCTGTGCACTCTCATGGTCTTTCCATCAGCAAGACTAACTCCTCTCCCCCCCCCCCTGGCAGGCTGCGTCGCAGCACAGGTCTCACTGTCTTCTCTATCTCTCCCCTCCGCAGGCTCGTGCAGCACGGTGTCTCACTCTCTCCTCCCTCTGCAGGCTTGTGACGGCACGGGCTGTCTCACTCTCTCTCCCTCCGCAGCGTTGTGATGGCGCCGGTGTCTCACTCTCTCTCCTTCCTCCGCAGGCTTGTGCAACACGGTGTCTCACTTCTCTCTTCTCCTCCGCCCTGCGTGACGGCCATGGTGTCTTACTCTCTCCTCCCTCCGCAGGCTGCGTTGCCGGCCACGTGGTCTCTTCCTCTCTCTCCTCCCTCCGGCAGGCTCGTGACGGCGTGGTGGTCTTACTCTCTCTCCTCCTCCGCAGGCTCGTGCCGGCACGGTGTCTCTCCTTTCTCTCTCCTCCCTCTGCAGGCTCGTTGCCGCGCACGGTGTCTCTCCTCTCTCTCCTCCCTCCGCAGGCTCGCTGACGGCGCGGTGGTCTCACTCTCTCTCCCCTCCGCAGGCTCGTCACGGCACGGTGTCTCACTCTCTCCTCCCTCCACAGACTCGTGACGGTGCGGTGTCTCACTCTCTCCTCCTCACTGCCTCGTCACGCGCACCGGTGTCGCACTGCTCTCCTCTCTCCACAGGCCTCATCGACGGCGTGCGGTGTCTCAACTCTCTCCTCCCTCCACCAGCTCTCACGGCGCGGCGGTGTCTCACTCTCTCTCGGCTCCGGCTACGCCCCGTTCCGCTCGATCCCCTCCGCGAGAATGCGTCGTGGGATGCGCGCGAGCGCGCGGGGTACGCGGCCATGTGTGTCTCATGGTTCTCTCCCTTCCGCAGGCTTCCGGGAATGAGCGGGAATGAGCGGGAATGAGCAAGAACTGGTGGGAACGAGCGGGAACAAGCGTAAAATTGTGGAAACGAGAGGTAACGAGTAGGAACGAGCGGGAGCGACTAAAAGGAAGCAGAAGGAAGCAGAAGTAAGCAGGAACGAGGGGAACAAGCGGGAAGTAGTGTGAACGAGCGGGAAAACGCAGGAATGCATGCCAACAAGGCAGGGATGAGAGGAAACAAGTGGATATGAGTAGGAACGAGCAGGAACGAGCGGGAACAAGTGTGGCTGCACATCACCTACGACAATCACTCGTCGCTATGTCACTGTGGGCTACAGCGACTCCACCTACAACACTAAAACCCGTGTCTAAACAACGTCACCCGTGTGCAGTATTGCCATGGTTTTTCATATTGCATTACAGAGGTGCCCTCTACCACACTCACTCGTAATCTGCAAGCTGCGCACGACGACGACACCAGCTACGAAACTCGTTAGAAGATCTATACGTACAGCGGTTCCCCCACAACGCTCCTTCACAACCTACAAGAAGCGCAGCAGCCGCTCGCGGCCCTGTCTCCGTGAAGCCCACAGTGCTGCCCTCTACTCACGCCGCGATTAGTGACGATCAGCGACGTCGTAATCGTTAACGATCAGGATACGCTAATCAGCAATATCATCGGCAATATCCTCGGCAACGCCCTCTATCGGCTCCGCGATCCCCACACAGAGGCAGCCGCGCCCTCTCACTTACTTGGTGATCTGCAGGTCGTGCACGATGATGGCGCCATCGTGCGTGTTCTGTGTGCGCAGACGCAGCCCGGCTCCTGCGCCGCCGCCATCGCCATCGTCATCGTCGTCGTCAGGCTGCACCTCGCGACCCTTGCGCACCCAAACGACACGCGTCGGCTCACCGACGAGGCCCGAGACGCGGCAGCGCAGCGGTAGACTGTCGCCCTCGAATACCACCTGGCTCGTCGACGGCACGAGCTCGAAGAGCGGGATCTCGACGGGCCAGTCTAGAAGAGAAGAAAAGTGCGATGAGACACGGTGGAGAGAAGGGGGAGAGGGTGGGATGGGAGGAGAGAGGGAGGGGTGAAGGGAGGAAGGGAGAGAAGGGAAAGAAATGGGGGAGGAAGAGAGTTGCGATGAGACATGGTCAAGAGAGGGAGGGAGAGGGAGTGATCGGAGGGGAGGGAGAGAGAGTGATCGGAGGGGACAAAAGTGGGAGGGAGGAAGGGAGGAAGGGAGAGAAGTGAAAGAAGTGAGGGAGGAAGAGAAGAGAAGTGCGATGAGACACGGTTGAGAGAGAGAGAGAAGGAGGGAGGGAAAGGGAGAGGGGAAACAGGGAGCGAGGGAGAGGGGGAGAAAGGGAGGAAGGGAGAAGAAGAGAATGAGCGAGAGAAAGAGGGAGAGAGGGTGAGGGATAGAGCGAGATACAGAGGGAGAGAGGAAGGAGAGGGAGAGAGAGAAAGAAATAGGGTTGGTGAGATGTGTGTACGTATGTGCGAAATTTCCAGAATCAGGGCACGTTCTCTCCACCTATAATAACAGCCTTCACATTCAAGCGTCAAAATCAGAGAGCCTTGAAACACGATTTAAAAAAAGCTATGTGGTGCTAGTGCAACCCAACACAACGCAATCATATACATACATACACACGCACGCACGCACGAACGCACACACGCACGCACGAACGCACACACACATGCACGCGCGCATATGCATATGCATGCACGCCTGCAAACACGTGCGGCACACACACGCGCACGCACGCAAACGCACACACCAAACACGCACACGCACACACGCACACGCCCGCACACATGCACGCGCGCACCCCCATAAGCTATTCCCTCTCAGAGCACTAATTAATACCACGCGATGCATTGCGAAATGCATCTAGAAAACAATCGCAGATCGATGAAAAACAATTCCCCTAACGCAATACACAGCTACACGCACGCACGTACGCACGCACATACACAAACACAGCCCTCACAGCTAAGGCGTTCTTTTGCTCTCTCTCTCTCTCTCTCTCTCACACACACGCACGCACGCACGCACGCACGCACGCACACACGCACACACGCACGCACGTACACACTCACACATACGCAGACACGTACGTACGGCTGCCGCAAAGCAAGGCTCGCTAGCTCAGGCAGCAAGCGGCCGTCCCGGCCAGGGCGCATGACCCGATGCGTTTTATTGGCTTCGTTTAATGTTGCCATCGCAGCATCACGGCGACGAAAGCCGAGATGCTGGCGAGAGTGCGTGGCTGGAAGAGGCTGGGGTGGGTTATTGTCAGTGGAAACTGTATACTACACTGACCAAATGAGAGATTAACTCAAACACAAAGCCGCGGAGACAGTTAGACACTAACCCAACACTGACTCCATCAGAGAATAACTAACTCAAACACAGCGCCACGGAATAGATTAGACACTAACTGACACAGATCCGAGTACTAAATCAGTCAACTCAGCCAATCACACAGAGCCAGTCAATGCATCACGCACTAGATCAAATAGCGAACCATGAATGCACCCGACATGAACCACATAGACTATATTACATAGACACAGACAGACAAACAGAAATCTCAGTCGAACAGACAGAGCCAGGAAATGCGATCGATACCACGTAAAACAATAAACCATGGAATGCATCAGGCACTTACCAACACGGAGCAACGAAATACACCAGAAACTCAAACACACACGCAGACTGCATTACGCGATAACTTACTCAAACACGGAACGACGAAATACTTACGGACAGTAATTCACAGAGAGCCACCACGGAATACATCATGCAGGCACTAAATCAAACACTGTACCACGAAATACTTCAGACACTAACTGAAACAGAGCCACGGACCACACATCAGACACTAGTATAGATCAAACGCTGAGCCAGGCAATACATCAGACACACTAATTCAAACACAGTGCTACCGACTGAATCAGCGGCTAACTCAATCACAGCGCTGCGCGAAGCGAAACGTGTCATTACGCCGGGCTCTTACTACGAGCAAAAATGAAAATCCCTAAATTGAAATTGTGCACGCAATCCCCTTGCCTTCAACCGACTAGATTTTCTCGCTCTCTCTTTCTCTCCCCCCCCCTCTCATTCTATTCGCTCTCATATCGCTCTTCTCTCTCTCTCTCTCTCTCTCTCTCTTCTCTAGCGCTGAGTGGCGACACCACTCTCTCTCGCTCGCGTAGCGTCGTCTCGAAGACTGACGATGAGACTGACTCTGCACACGTATCACGCTCTCGCTCTGTCATCTATCTCCCCCTCTCTCTCCCTCTCTCATTTATCCCCCCTCTCTCTCTCTCTCTCTCGCTATCTCATAATCGTGGCATCCCGGTGGCTCGGTCCCAGCTCTCTCTAGCGGGAATACCCACATCCCCCCGGGGGCGATCACGATGGGTTGCCGCAGACCAAATATCGAAGGACAGAGAAAGAATTTATAGACGGGAGGAGGATTATGTAGTTTTATTTCATCAACATGCCCACGCTATTATTGGTATTTAAGTGAACTGATGTCTTCGGGAAACAGGCATTAGGATTCGTGCGAGGGAAAAGAATTGCCGCTTTCACGAACTTCTGCCGGAGAAATGAGATATTTGCAAAAGATTTTAAATTGAGATACGAAACAAGAGAAATAACAGTGATATCCTTGAAGATTGAAGCCTGCCACTGCTCCTATAACTCACCGCTATTTGCTACTACCTGCTGGCTACTACTGCTGCTACGAGCTGCTGCTGGCTACCTTACTGCTTGCTACTACTACTGCTGTATCTACTTGCTGCTGCCTGACTGCTACTGCTCGCTACTGCTGCTACTGCCTACTTGCTGTACGACTGCTGACTAAGAACGATGACTGCGTGACTGCTTACTTGCCTGGCTACGGACTGCTACTGCTACTGCTCGGATGCTACTGCTGCTAGTCAGACGACGTTTACTGACTACTATAAGCCTTCCACACCCACTATTCATGAGACTGCTACAAAACACGTATTGCTCCTACTAGCTACGGTTACTGCTGCTATTTGCTGTTGCTCGTGCCTGCTGCTGTAATGCACTGCTGCATGCACATGCTGCTATTGTTGGTTTTACTGTATTGCTGCTACTGCTACTTCTGCCTGACCTACTCTGCGTGCCTACAGGCCGTTGCTCTCCTGCTGCTGCTGCTGCTGCTGCCTGCTGTGCTGTAGCTGCTGCCTACTACTCGCGACTGCTACTGTTAATACTGACGCAAATTAAGCATGAGACACGGTCAGAAAGGAATCGATCCAATGAGAGAAGACCGTGAGTAATCCGAACGCAGTTAAAGCTATACTTATCAGCGACTAAGCGTCTCCATCTCATTCAGTCGACTGTCCGGTGTCCTAGTTGCACTGTTGTCGGTCTTACGCTTCTGTGTGTCAGCCGTCGACAGCAGCAGCACTAAGTTACACAATGTGAGCGCTGACTACAGCTCGACTCGCGCTACGTGTCACAATGCAGCCCACGAGCGGCTTTGGGAGGAGATGCGTGCTGAGTGTATATGAGTACTCACATATAGTATCACGTAGTATATAGTATATATTATAGTCGATATAGCTACAGTCTGTCAGGCTAGTGTGCCATGGTCGTGTCGTTGTCACAACGTATTCTTGTGCGTAGTGCGTGGATGCTACGTTGTTGCAGACCGTAGATTGGGAGATGCGGTTGAAAGTGTTGCCTGCCTTCACGCGTTTGTGGTGCTGCGTGCTAATACGCGTTCCGCCGTTGCCCTTGAGCCCGCGCGGCTACGCAATTATGTTCCGGACCTATGGTCTGCTCGGTAGCGTTATCCTGAAGGTGCGCTGCAAGTTTCGGTGAATTGTTCAGGCACAGATATTAAATGTGCGCGTGTGTGTAGTGTGGCTCGATTGTATGTTGTGATGTCCACATTAAGATGGGTCAGCACACATAATGCACATAACGACACACGCTTACGATTTACATAATGCGGATGTGGCCGCCGTTACGAACGACAATAACGAACTGGCCTATCGCACGTCCATTGCCTCACGCTACGGCGAACGTCTTTTACGACGCTGGAGCGTGCACACACACACACACACACACAATACACACACACACAATGCCACATATAACGCACGCCGACGCACGCACAAACGAAGGACACACACTACAATTCTACCGCACAAGTGTACACGCACGCACTTAATCCCGACCTGGGCAACGCCGTGCGGATGGCCACAACGGCAGTAGCCCTATAGCACTAATAATAGAGATTAGTTAGTGTTTAGGATGAGAGCCAGACGGCGTGCCGGGCCGGCAGTTAGTATACCGTTACGCGTGCGTGCATGCGTGCGTGCGTGCCTTTCATGTGCGTTGTCGTCTTCCTTATGTACATCCGGTAACGTGTGACGCAGTTATGTGCATAGAGTGTGTGCCTTATGTGGATTAAATGCATCCGGCACACCTAATAAAGATCTGTGGCTGCATGCGGCTGCCGTCGGTCAGTGTCGCCGCTAATCTCGCGCGCTTAGCACGCGACGCGTATTAGCAGCGTCAGGCTTCACTCTCTCGTCTGATATTCAAGATTAGTAACAGCAGTACGCCGACGGACGCCGCCGCCGCCGCCGCCGCCGCCGACGACGAACGACGACGACGACGCAGGCCGGTCGCTGAGGCTTTACGCTCTCTTTCTCTCTCTCTTCCTTCTGTCTGTCTCACTCGTGCGCGTCTTTTTCTTTCTCTCTCTCTCTCTCTCTTCTTTCGTTCTTTCGCCCTCTCGCTCTCTCTCTCTCTACTCTCTCTCCTTCTCTCACACACACACCACACATACAGCGCGCACGCACGCACGCCACGGACGCCACACGACACTACAACACACAACACACCAACGCAACACGCACAAACACCACCACGCACACGCAACGCACCACGCACGCAACGCACACGCACACGCACACCAACACGCACAACGCCACCCCACGCACGCACACCGCACAAC